GTGCTTTTTGCATAAAGCCTTATCGACTAAATTGATATGTTGGCTTGATGCTGGTATAACTATTCAGTTAGTTACGATTGAAGTGCCATATAGCTCGTAGTCACAGACGACACTATCATAATGCTCCAGATCACAACAACGAACTTTTTTTTTGCCTTTCCTTGCTTTAGAACTGGCGCCAGAACTGGTTTGATGTTGTTCTTGTGTAGACATTTTGTTATATTGCCCGCTTTTTTTTTTTATGTACTATACTAAAAAATGTAAAAAAAACTATTAGCTATCGCTATGTATAAATTCTTTAATCGTTTGATGAGACGTTACACAAACCTTTAATTTTCCGAACCAATAGAATTTATGAAGGTCACGAAATGATCTACAAAAATTTAACCAATCATAATGAAAGCCCGCTATGCTGAGTAAAAGGGCTAGGGGGGTCATGGGGGGGTCCTATCCCACTTAATGTCAAAACGGAGGACTTTTATAATGAATTATCAGGGAAGTATCTTAGAAACGTTCTCCCTTTTTCTATCTTAATGTTTCCTTTTTCTATTAATCGTACCATTTCACTCTTTTTGACTCATGCTTCCGGTTTTCATTAACTTCTCTATTTCGTAGGTCCCGCTGATAGAGCTACAGCCGCATCTCCCAAAACATCTTTGCGGGTTGAAGGCTCTGTTGTAAGGCCGTGAAAGTAAGTATCACACTTTTTCCTTGTTGCGCATCGTGGTGATTCTACTAAGTCTTTCTTCCTTTTTAGGTTTAGTGATGATTGTCGCATGTGGGGCCAGGCTTACAATCGTGAGTGCCTTGTTCCGAATCTTAGGGCTTCTCTTGCATACAATGGGGATAAATCGGGTTACACGATCACTGGTTTTGGGTCACGATCCAACTTGCGATTCCGGTCACGTTTTCGATCACGTTTTCGGTGATCGTTACTCACGGCTCTAACCGGATTTCCCTCTAACAATATGTAGCTTTAAGTTGAAGTTCTTTGTCCATCCTTGTGTTGTCTTCTGAGGGTCGCATGTTTGGCACCAGACTGGTGATGTTATATTGCTTGCAGTTTGCACATTTTCCATGCTTTTAATTTCTTTTCGAACTAAATTCATCGGCCATAATTCCAAGATGTTACAAAGAAATTAATCATCGTTTGTAGTAACGTACGTACGTACACATATAAATATACTGTATAGCAAAAGTATGTTGCACGAATTTTTACATCTCACACAGTTTAAAACTTTATTATTTAGAAAAACCTGGTCACATTTTATAAAACAGTATTCGGTTTTTTAACATAAAACAAACTCATCGCATTATGAACAGGTATAAAAAGCACTTGTAAAATTAAATAAATCATTAGAAATTGTGCCAAATGATGCATTCTCATTGTGATGTCGTATTGCAATATGGGAAACATAAGGAATCACTTGATTATTTAAATAATTTATTAAAAATTGATCCAAAAGTACAAACATATTAAAAAAATCGTAGAGCAATATATTGTCAATTAGGAAGATATGAGTGCTTGTAGATCTATCGCGGGTTGAACTTTTGCATGCCTGATTGTCCGATTATAATTGATTGCACGTACGTACGTGATTTTATCGCACTAGACACTTTCTAATCATGTGTTAACAACAGGAGGAACCGTCGATGTTATGCAACATATAAAAAAATTAATTTACAATACTAGATCATTCCGCTAGTACATGTTATGATTATAATCCCACACCACTTTATTATCCCTTTTACCGTTTTGCAGGCAAATTTGTAATTATACATATTTACCCCCGCTAAAATCATATACATTAATAATCTAACCGAGTCATAAGTGGTTGTCGAATGTGCTGTTTAGAATTTGTCAGATATCAAAATCTTTAAATTTTAGATCTAATAACCAATAGGTATAAATAGTGATGGACAAGCGCGGGATTCATCACGTGATGCACGGGATAATTCGGGCCAATGCCATAATTCCAGCCGAAACTTACGGTAATCTTGGTAACAATCTGCGAATCCCGCGCGGGATTTTTTGCAAAACCGTGATTGCCCATCTCTAGGTATAAATATCACGTCATGTAATGACTTGTGATTTGACTAGGTGACACGAGAACATTACCTTTGCAAGGGTTATTTCGCTAAATTAAATGGAAAATAAAGGTAGTTTGCTATTAAAAATAGTTAAAAACGTGTATTGGCCGAAAGCTCTTTGCGAGTAGTTTTACCAACAATAATGTTACGCACAGGCCTATATTATAATTTCTGCAAGTTGCACTAGCAAAAACAATTTTGATCAAAAATTTGCAGGCAAATCGGTAAAATGGATAATAATAACATGTACTAGTGGAATGATCTAGCATTGTAAATTAATTTTTTTATATGTTGCGCACCGGGTGAAGGATCAGTGGTGTAACATCGACGGTTCCTCCTGTTTAATTTTTTGATCATTTTCCTGATTTTTTTTCTTGCGTAAAAAGTTGTGAAACTCGTATATCTCATATTATTAAAAGTTAAGAAAAAAAGTCAAGTGAAAAAAAAATGCAAACAAAAGTAAAAAGAAAAAATAGTGAGCGAAAAAAGTAAGTGAAAGTAAAGAATTAAATGATTAAAAAGATCGAATAATACATACGAAAAACGACAGTGCTTACGTTAGACATTACAGATAATGTACATTTATTGTCTACAATCTAACCAATTACAAGTACATATACGATTTCTCAACAATCATCTGATCAAATTCAATGAAAATTTTTTTATTTTGATTTTATAAGTCAATAAAATTCATATAAAAAATTTAACAGACTTGATTAGGTGGTTGCTAAGATATCTTCACTTAAAGTTTATTAAAAATATCAAATGTTAAAGAAACATCAATCAAAAATAGAAATTGTATTAAATTTTGGTTAAAACTTTAAGTGAAGATATCTCAGCAACCACCTGATCAAATTTAATGTTTTTTTTTTATCTGAATCTATTAATCCATAGAATTCATACAAAAAAGATTCATCAGATAGTTGTTGAGATATCTTGAAGTTTTTTTTTTAAAAAAAAAAACAAAAAACAAATTCATCTATACTAAAAGAATGAAATATGTGACAATTTTATGAGTTCTCATTTATTTAGACTTACTAGATATAAACTTTAGACTCTGGATGCTCATACTGTAACTAGAAACTATAAGTCACATGATGTTTCTTGTGTTTTTTTAAGAAGTGATTTAATCTATTTTCGGGAAAATGGCTTTCAGAAACTTGTATGTACGTACGTGCGTACATGTGTACAAACAACTAAATAGCATCACCTGCAACACATGAAAACATAAACACGAAATGAGACAAAAAAAGACAGCAGATTGAACAAATACTAAATCTTATATTTGAGTAGACAATACATTTTTGACGTGCCATTTGAAATGGATTGGTTCCATAATAGTGTTACAGAAAAGCCTAGACGAACAATGAAACATCGTTTTAAATTGCATTAATAACTTTATCTATAAGAATATAAAACTAAATCGTTACATCAATATCCTAATTGTTAATGCTACGGTAAAAGTATAGATTATGAACTCTGATTCATGATGCAGTGAATTAAAAGTTTTCATTCGGGCTTGAGTTCGTGTTCCAGAACAAAGAACCGAACAAATTCGCTTTAATTTACATTTTATTAAAAATATTTCTTAATATAGATAAACGTGAATGATTGCTCTTTTTACAAAACATAAAACTATTTTTTTATCATCAACACTACCTGTGAAGTTAAGGTAATACCATTCCATTTCAACATCCGTCTTTATTTGTATTAAATCACGTTATAATGGATTTAAAGTACTAATAGATATTTTTGGCTAAACCTAGAAATTACAAGTTTGGCCACTTTTTTAAACCAAAATAAACCCAAATTTATAATCAATGCGCCATTAAAGAATATTGATATCTCCAATAATGGTAGAGCCATTTTCAATAATTTATGATATTGATTTGGCTGGCCATTTTTTGAGTACTGATGATCATTTCCTTTCGTAAATTCACTTTCTTAAATCACAATCGTGCACGTACTGTACATACGTACAGTACGTATGTACGTGCGTACATGCGTAAGTGTCGTAAACTGTTATAGAACAAAAATTAAAATAAAAATTTAGACTAAATATAGGGATTGGCGCATGCAGAAACTTTGAGAGCCTACCCAATTCATAAAATCTAAGCTCTAAAGAAATATTCAAAAAAAAATGCAACTCCAAAAATTTTTACTACTATATATAAGTTTTAAATTTAAAATGGATCAAAAGTTCCTTAATCTGCTACACAAGCATGTATTCACGTGATTTTTTCGTATCGTTAAGTTGACACGTATACCTATTTCTAAAAGAATAAATGGATACCATTCAGAACTCTATTTTGAGTAAATTACAACTCTACAATGTATTAAGGACACAAAGAACCAGGTCAAATGCATTTTAATCGTTAGGAATCAATTCTGATGGCGCTATTTACTGTGAAATAGACATCGGAAAGTGAATTACGTAAGGTGAATGTTTGTGAATTACAGTTTCTTTTAGTTTCATCTCAATATTAATTTCGTGTATAACAATTTCATTTTTGTATTGTAATATTACGTCTCTTACGTGCATATTTGTAATAAATAGTCCTGTTCTACTTCATTTATCAAAAAAATTTATTCAGCTAAAAACTAAAAATGCTTAGAATTAAAATAATATCATTTTTTGAACTTATCTCAACTAAAATCTCTTCGTTTTTTGAACTTGTCTCAACTAAAATCATCTCATTTCTTAAACTTATCTCAATTAAAATCATCTCGTTTCTTGAACTCATCTCAACTCATTTCTTGAACTATTAGAGTGGCTTATCACACACGTGATATCATTTTTAAACGATGAACATGCATTTCCTTATTTGCATTGCTTCTTAACTTACTTATCAATTATCTTGACATGTTTCATAACCTTTTCACCATATGTCCCAGTTGCACTATTTATTATGCAACCATATCTTATATTTGCTCGACCAGCTCTTTCATACAAAGTACAAGAGCATAACTATAATATTTTTATTCAACAACGCTTCTTTATTTTATTCCTCACTTTAAGGCATGGTATTCCTCTTTTCTCTGGTATATATTTCATTATACATTATGATGCACCAATATTCTATGCATTGGCCGCAATTTATGCCCTTTGTTACATTCAAATTGATACCTTTAAAAAATTCAATCATGTTCAAGATGCCATTCAAAAAAAGCAAGAATTAAATAATCCAAGAAACAATCAGAATTTAAATGCGACTGAAAGAGTGAAACAATATAATATTCTTTACTTTTTCCGTTTTGGCTATTATTATCTTATTTCTACTACCAAAGAAATTAGAAAAACATGTTTTGCCCAGACGTTCGAAGAGTTATTTAAGGATACCGATTTAGACAGCTTTAAAGATAAAGGTATTAATGAAAAGTTCACTAAAGAAGATTTGATCATTCAACATGATCAAACGACATTTACTAAAAAACAATTTAGATTATTAGAGTTAGATGTTGTTTCGGTCTATCGACAACGAGCTGTTTACATCAATAAATCGGCTGATTCTTCTATGCCAACAAATTATATTTCACTTTCTCCTTTCTTTAGATCAAATAAGCTTGAATGGGATGATTTTATTAAGAGTAAAGAAGCTTCATTCAATTATTATTAATACATCCTCAGAAGCTTTACAGATTTTTTTTAGAAATAGCAAAACATCTTAGTCTATTTAATAAGTGACAATATATGTACAATTCCTCATAGCCTATCAACCTTTTTTTTTTTTGTTATTTACTTATTGATTTTCTGATTATTTTTTTATTTTCATTTATTTATTATTTATTTATAGTTTCGTTTGCTGTACCTGCTATTATTTCTTGTGAGGGGCCAAGAGCAACGTGGGGTCAATTGGTATTTAAAGGCTGCCTATGATTAGTAATCATTAAAAATACCAATTAAACTCTCACATTTCTTTATTTGAATTTATATAAACCGAAAATTATATTGGACAAATTGCAGATAGTGGCAATTCGTAGTGATAATTTTTTGAATAATGAAATAAATAATTACGGAAAAAATTGGTATCTATTCTCTTAAATGCATGTAACTCTCATTTTGCTTCAATAAAGATCATATTATAATTAACGTATGGCTTGACAATTGAATCTATTCTTGAGTGATTAGGCGCGAAATCTAATTCATTTTGTGATATCATTAATTATCGCAATTGTAGCTAAAGTCTTCTGTATAAATTATAACTAATATCCTAAACTGCAGAATTTACAATCGAATTACGACGAATTTATGAATACCCTAAAATTTGAAAATTTTGACCATTATTAAGACAATAATGATTTTTTGGACTAAAATAACTACTGTCCCCGAGTCAAGGTATAATAAAGTTCTATGTCTAATAAGATACGTCAAAGGTGTTGAAGATGGTTTAGCACGCGGGAAAGATCAGACGCGCTATCAATTAAGATCAGGGGGTCCAAAAAACTTTTTCGGGGTTTAGCATTGATTTATCAATATGTAATTCGGTAACTAAAATTTAAAATTGGGGATCAAATACACAGATTTGGTGACCGAATTTTAACCTAATTTCATAAATTCGCCGTGATACATATCGTTAACTGCATATCACTAAATTCCTAAAGTTTCTCTTGACATAAAAATACCACGTCTTATAGAACTATTATCTTTGATATAAGCGTCATCATATTGCTAATAATGGCAATAGTCGGTTATGGTTAATAATCAATCTCTTATTTTTAGTTTTAATATATAGACAGGATGTATATCTTGCAAAAGATATTATATTCACGCAAATCACATCATATTTCACATGAAGTATTGTTAATTTTATTGTTACGACTATTCAAATAAGGAAATTATTGCACAATTGTAAAAAAAAAAAGTTTTTGTATGCTTTACATTACCCTTTATGGAGCTCGAATAATCTAATTTTTTAAACGGTATACTAAAAGATTTAAAGATTTGTATTGGTTTTTATATGAAGGTTATTATAACTATTAAATATTATAAATTGATTATTATGAACAAAATCTATATAGGTAATTGAATCTAGGATTTTAAATATACCGCAAATTATAAGTCAAACTAGAAATTTAAGTACGAATTAAATCTTTAGCAATAGACTATGTACAAATTTGAATATTATTTGTGAAAACTTTAATACATATTATTTGTATAAATTTGAATAAAATTTGATTAAGTTCGAATTTATTTTGTACAATATTGCGTAAATTTAGATATTAAAAGGAAGAATAAAATTTTTTTAACATGCACAAGTTTTTGCAACTAAATCGATTACCATAAAAATATAAAGAGGCTAATGTAGTATTTTTACGCAAGGCTTCTGCTAATACTTTTTCAGCTTCAATATTAAGTTCGTTAAAAGAAATATCTAAAGAAGTTAAAGTAGTGTTTATGCAAAGTGCTCGTGCTAATGCTTTTCCTCCCTTTAAACCAATCTTATTACGACTAAGATTTAATGATGTTAACGTAGTATTTACGAAAAGTGCTTCTGCTAGTGCCTTTCCTCCTTCATATCCAATCTTATTATTACTAACATTTAAACTAGTTAAAGTAACGTTTTTACTGAGTGCCCGTGCTAATGCTATTCCTCCTTTATACCCAATTTGATTAGTGCTAATATTTAAAGATGTTAATGTATTGTTAATATAAAGTGCCTCTGCTAACGCTTTTCCTCCTTCAAATCCAATCCTATTATCACTAATATCTAAATATGTCAATGTCACGTTTCGATGAAGTGCTTCTGCTAATGCTTTCCCTCCTTTAGATCCTAATTGATTTCCATAAATCTTTAATGATGTCAAACCAGTGTTAATATAAAATGCTCCTGCTAATGTTTTCCCTTCCTCTGATCGAAGTTGATTATAAGAAAGATTTAAATGATTTAAAGTTGTATTTACGCAAAGTGCTTTTGCTAACACATTTACTCCTTCCAAACCAATATTATTATTACCAACATCTAAAGAATTAAGTGTATTATTCATACAAAGTGCTTCTGCTAACGCTTTTCCTCCTTCAAATCCAATCTTATTATCACTAATATCTAAATATGTTAATGTCCCATTTTTTTGAAGCGCATCTGCTAATGCTTTCCCTCCTTTAGATCCAAATTGATTTCCATAAATCTTTAAAGAAGTTAAAGTTGTATTAAGACCAAGTGCTCCTGCTAGTGCTTCCCCTTCTTCAGAACCAAGTTGATTATACGAAACATTTAAATGATTTAAACTAGCGTTCATACAAAGTGCCCTTGCTAATACATTTACTCCTTCGAAATTAATATCATTATTACTGATATTTAATGAAGTAAGTGTGGTATTTTTACAAAGTCCTTCCGCTAATGATTCAACACCTTTAGAACCAAGTTGATTATTATGAATATTTAAGGATGTTAAGGTAGTATTTTTACAAATTGCTTCTGCTAACGCTTTTCCTCCTTCACATCTAATCAAATTATCTCCAATATCTAAATATGTTAAAGTAGTGTTTTTACAAAGTGCTTTTGCTATTGCTTTTCCACCCTCAGAACCAAGTTGATTTCCATAAATATCCAAAGAAGTTAAAGTAGGATTCTTACAAATAGCTTCTGCAAGTGCTTTTCCTTCTTCCGAATCCAAATAATTAAAAGAAAGATCTAAAGATGTTAAAGTAGTACTTTTACAAATAACTTCTTTTAATGATTTAATTCCTTCCGAATCAAAATTATTTTGATAAAGATTCAAATAAGTAATAGTATTATTTATATAAAGTCTTTCAAATATTATTTTGTTAATAGTTTTATCAAGTGATAAAAATTTAAGATTTTTACTTGTTCTTAAAAACATTGTAACTAAAGAACATTTAACAGCGCTTACAGATTCATCTTCACTTTCATCATCAATAAAAATTGAATAACGAAATCCTTCAGATCCATATCCTTCATCATTTAACCAATTTTCAACTCCTTCAGTTAAATAAAATCCAACTGATGTTGTATAACTTGTATATTCAAATAATAATTTTTGATAATTTGGTATAATAATTTTAAATGGTATTAATAATGATTGTTCTTTAATATTTAATGATAAAAGATATAATTTTATAAGTCTTTTATCATCAAAATATTCCGTTGGTTTACTCCATAATATTGGTACTATCATTCTACACCATTGACGATTTACAAGAAGGCATGAAAATAAACTTTTATAATCTGTTTGTAAATTATTAAAGATTTCAAAAAAGCATTCATTTGGTAACATCATTTTTTTAAAAAAAAAAAAGGATTTAACGTCAAATGCAAAAAAAATTTTTTTTGGTATTCGATGATTCCTGGGTTTTGTACTTCCATTTATATAATCGTGTAAAATGTTGTGTAACATTGTGACTTTGATCCCAAGACTGTAATTATGTCAGGTGAGAACGTACATACTGTATATAACGATAAAGACACAATGTTCTTAATAATATAAACCAATACAATCAACTATTGATATTGATATAAAGAACATGTATATAACGAATATAAATCCATTATACATGTATCACTGTATTAGTAAGAAATATATTTATATTACTCTTGCCTCAGATGTCGATTCTTTGGCCAGCATTAACTGCGTTAGGGTTGGAAAATTACCGTAATTTTACGTAATTTTACGTAAGTTTCTGAAATCAAAATTACATGTAATTTTCATCATGTGAATACTTGTTTATACTGCCGGCATTAAAAATTACAATTCCGAACATAATGATGGATATCTATGTAATGTCGGCAAAATTATCATGTGACAATGCACTATTCAATGTAAAGTTACATTACAAAGTAATTAGCGGAGGACGCTCAATTTCTATGCAAACTGATACAAAAGTTACGTTTTTGATGCACCAAAAGTATCATTATTGATGCATCAATAATAAAATATCAAAAACGTAACTTTGAATTTTCCGTCTGTCTCCACTTGCATATTCGTGTAACACAACAAATCTCATGTAATTTCGCTCCGGACTTATAACGGTTTCCGTTTTCTGTGAAACATGATCCTGGAAGCACGTGGAAGGAGGTGATCGAGGTGGCGCAGTATTAACTAACGGCTATGTCGATCACCTACCTAATATGGGCTTCCCGGGATTATCGCTCCTAAAAGTCGTATAGAATATTTAGCAATTATAAGGGTAATAGTGGTAATAAGGGAAAACTATAAGAAAAGGGTTATATTATATTTAGGGGCATTAAGTAGTATAGGACATTAAACGTATATATGTTATATAATAAGTTTAATATGTTTAATAGCTGTAGGAGCGCATAAGTAATATAACAGTATATAATAAAGGCTTCGAGCCCTACATGATGAGTAGTTATTCGTGCTTGCAATACATTTTGACCCAAGTACTTTCCTACTTTCGTGACGTTATATTATAAAACCTACGATCATAAACACACCACTCGCCAAATCTAACCGCCTCTTATCGACTAAGCCGTTCGTAGGTTACACGACGTATCCATCTGTCAAGCGACTGACTCGCCGTTTCGCCCGTGTCACTAGTTTATGTAATACATCCCTAACAAGCGTTAACTTACACAGTACTTGTATATCTTGGTATATACGCATATATGCACTTGACTTCTCGGTCTCGAACCCTATA